GTTCAATATTTACTCTAGAGATAAAACATAGTTCAATATTTACTCTAGAGATAATACATAGTTCAATATTTACTCTAGAGATAAAACATAGTTCAATATTTACTCTAGAGATAAAACATAGTTCAATATTTACTCTAGAGATAAAACATAGTTTAATATTTACTCTAGAGATAAAACATAGTTCAATATTTACTCTAGAGATAAAACATAGTTTAATATTTACACTAGAGATAAAACATAGTTCAATATTTACTCTAGAGATAAAACATAGTTTAATATTTACTCTAGAGATAAAACATAGTTCAATATTTACTCTAGAGATAAAACATAGTTCAATATTTACTCTAGAGATAAAACATAGTTCAATATTTACTCTTACTCTAGAGATAAAACATAGTTCAATATTTACTCTAGAGATAAAACATAGTTCAATATTTACTCTAGAGATAAAACATAGTTCAATATTTACTCTAGAGATAAAACATAGTTCAATATTTACTCTAGAGATAAAACATAGTTCAATATTTACTCTAGAGATAAAACATAGTTCAATATTTACTCTAGAGATAAAACATAGTTCAATATTTACTCTAGAGACAAAACATAGTTCAATATTTACTCTAGAGATAAAACATAGTTCAATATTTACACTAGAGATAAAACATAGTTCAATATTTACACTAGAGATAAAACATAGTTCAATATTTACTCTAGAGATAAAACATAGTTCAATATTTACACTAGAGATAAAACATAGTTCAATATTTACTCTAGAGATAAAACATAGTTCAATATTTACACTAGAGATAAAACATAGTTCAATATTTACTCTAGAGATAAAACATAGTTCAATATTTACACTAGAGATAAAACATAGTTCAATATTTACTCTAGAGATAAAACATAGTTCAATATTTACACTAGAGATAAAACATAGTTCAATATTTACTCTAGAGATAAAACATAGTTCAATATTTACACTAGAGATAAAACATAGTTCAATATTTACTCTAGAGATAAAACATAGTTCAATATTTACACTAGAGATAAAACATAATTCAATATTTACTCTAGAGATAAAACATAGTTCAATATTTACTCTAGAGATAAAACATAGTTCAATATTTACTCTTACGCTAGAGATT